GCAAGAGGTCTGGTCCCCTCAGGGCAAACCCACTTCCAAGACTAAGACTCAAGGGGAATAATACACGAGTAGGCATGTGGTCTGGCTGGTGACCATGTTGGTCACTGATAAGGGAAAGTGGGGGGAAAACGGCAATGAAGTTCTGAGGTGCATCTGACCACGTTCAATAGAATCTTGTGAACCCAGGTTGAGACCTGGTTGGCCAGCAATATTTCAAGACCTGGGGACTTCTGGGCCTGAGACAGTGAAATGGCAACAGAGGACTAGAGCGGAGAGTGAAACATCCAGCTGATATGAAGTGAGGGGAGATGCACAAGAACACCCATACTTGCAGTTAGTACCCACTTGACCTGGCTTCAATGGCTGGATGATCAGAACTCAACTAGAAGAAGACAGAAGAGGGAAAAAAGAGTAACCTGCTACAATTTGATGAACTTGACCTATACTTATGGATGTATAGCTCAAAAGAGGGAACAAATCTTTACAGCAAGGATCATTCTCACTTCCTTGGTACGCAGGGTTGACAGAGATGTGTAACCTAGACATTGACTACCCAAAATAGTGGGGGCTACAAAGGCAAGAAGTGACTGGCTTACAAGCTTTCAAGAGGGAGCCTAGTTCCAGACAGGGTGATGGAAGGTAGAATCTCCACTGAGTGGTTTCCAATTTGCCTGGACAGGGCTGATGAAAGGAGATGGGGATAAAACTCTTGTGGTACAATAGTGAGTAATTGCTATCAGGACTGACTATGAGGATTGGAAATGTAAAGGTATGTGTTTTGTAACAAAAGGAGGGGAGTGGTTGATTTTGCAGTCCAGGAGCGGAGGTCTCTGGGAACTTCAAGGGAGATGAGCAGAGTGTGGGACCCTACCCAGAGAAGCAGTGACTCCATAGATGGAGGCAGATATGATGACGTAGAGATATGGAGCAGCTGGGGTCTCTGGACTCTGGGAGGGAGAGGGGCTGTGTGCTGACGGCCAGGGGGCAGGCTTGCGGGTTATACCCTTTGGTTGTTTGATGATGCATGAAGGAGATTGTAATCATTGCAATGAAGCAAAATACTATAGGATGAATGTAAAGCTAATGTTCTCCCATGTAAACTATCACATAATTTACAATAAAAACTTAAAAAAAAAATTTCAAATATTTCTCTATTCAAGGAAGAGATGGCTGCAAGTCTGGAGGTATGATTTTTATGGAAAGATCCGATGTGCAGATCATATTTATTAATTTAGAAACTGACCCATTTATTTTATAAGGTAACTACTATCTTTATACCTGGACCCTAGAGTTATTCTTAGAGCATTAAATTTTAGATTTAAAATGAGTTTTTGTATTTTTTCTAAAGAAATTTGTTTTAAGATAGAGAAAAATTTAAACTATTATTTCTTTCTTTTCCTTCCAGGTTTCACTTTGCTTAAATGTCCTGTCACGATTGTTGTTTAGCAGTGATCCAGATGTGTTAGCAGATGTGTGTTGGGCACTCTCTTATCTCTCCGATGGACCCAATGAAAAAATTCAAGCAGTCATTGATTCTGGAGTCTGTCGAAGATTGGTAGAACTTTTGATGTAACTATCATTTCTTTTTAGCAGCTTTACGATTGTTTATTACATTTAGCGATTAGAGTGGCAACAGAATAAGCCTGTCAAGAGTCCCTGTGTTTAGGAAGGTTTACAAAGAAACTGACTTCACACTTTATAGACTAAAAGCCTGAGACAGTGCTTATTTTATCCTATATCCCATTGTGTCCACTAGATTCGGATGGGGGCTTACCATTTTATTAATGAATGTGATTAGTTTCATGTCATTTGTTCTTTTATTTAGAGAGGAATAACTGAACAAATATTTTATTGGTTGCCTGCTACCTGCTAGGATGCTATTTCATTGTTATGAAATATAGAACATAGGTTCTGTGTACAGTACCTATGATCTTGTTCATTATTTGTTTCAATTTGTATAAAATTTCATCTAGTGAAAATAATTTCTTTCACTGTACTAATGATAACATATTTCCTTTTCCTGAACTGTTATTGCTGTTTTCTTTAAAAAGAAAGACTTTTCTACACTAAGAAGTTTAAAATTTGTTTTAAGAAGAAAATGGTTTCTTTGTCTTCTTACCTACTTTTTAAAAATATTTATTGGCTTCTTTCCTTTTTTGTTAAATAAAAAAAAAAAAAACACTCTCAAAACTCAAAAACTCACTGCCATCGAGTTGTTTCTAATTTACAATGGCCCTGTGTAGAGTTTGCAAGGCTGTAAGTTTTTTTTATTGGAGCAGAAAGCCTCATCTTTCTCACACAGAGCCACTAGTGGGTTTGAACTGATTTTGTGGTTAGCTGTCCAGTGCTTATCCTAAAGTGCTGGACAGCTTGGAGGAAGGTGTGATAGGGGATTAGGCTACAAATGGGATGCCAACATCTCATGAGGTTGGGCAGATCAGGGGTTCAGGCCACAAAGTGAGGGACCCTGCCAGAGCAGCAGAGAAGCAGAATGGAGCTGGAAGCTGGAGTCAATACACGATAGGATAGCAGCCTATGAGTCAGGAGATTGACCGGATAAAGGGAGATTGTGATAATGGCAATCAGGTTTCTTACTTCAGTTACAAATATGGAAAAGGGGGAAAGCCAGAATCATCTTGTGGTGTTAGATTAGAATTGGAGCTATCTGTGTGAATTGATAGCTTCTAATATAAAGGGGTAACTGTAGAAATGTTTTTGTAAATATGTGTATGTATGAGGGTACAAGAATGTGTACCTTGATCCAGGAGTCTTGGTGTGACACTGTAGGATAAGCAGTAGACTGTACCGCAACCACCAACCACTCTTGGGAACCCTATACAGGGTCGCTAAAAGTCAGAATCATCTCAAAGAATCAACTCAAAGGCACAAAAATAAGTCCAAAAGTATTGCTATACACTTATAGAAACCTTTGTTAAAGAAAAAATATTAAGATATGAAGCTATTGTTTCTAGCCTATTCTCTATACATTTTTGAAGACAATGTTTCCATATCTCTAACCCTTTGCTGAAGAATTCTGTGCTCTTTGATTTACATCATGTCAAATAGCACCCTTCGAGGGACTAAATTGTGTTCCTTTTAAATATTCTTTAAGTTTTGAACAAAAATAAATCTGAAGGGGCAAGATCAGGACTCTAGGGTGGATGGAGTTAGATTTCCCAAAAAAGTTAGTGTAGATCAGCACTCATTACCCTCAAAGAATGCACAGGTTCAACTGGAAAACAATTCCTCAGCACAACTTTTCTGGCCTTTTTCTCACCAAGAGAATATTCAGTTTTCTTAAAACTTCATTAAAATACGGCCCTATGATGATGATCCTTTGTTGTTAGGTGTCATCCAGTTGGTACCAACTCATCGCTACATTTTGCACAACAGAACGAAACACTGCCTGGCCCTATGCCAACCTTACAATCATTGGTACGTTTGAGCCCATTGCTGCTGCCACTTTGCCAGTTCATCTCACTGGGGTCTTCCTCTTTTTCTTCGCTCCTCCACTTGACCAAGCATGATATCCTTCTCCAGTGACTCCTGTCAAGTATGTCAAGTAGGTCCCTCCTGTCAAGTATGTCCGAAATGTGATAGACAAAGTCCAGTCATCCTGGCTTCCAAGGAGCATTCTGGTTGTACTTCTAACACAGATTGGTTTGTTCTTTTGGCCTTCCTTGATAATTTTAATATTCTCTTTCAACACCATAACTCAAATGTATCCGTTTTTCTATGGTCTTCCTTATTCACTGTCCAACTTTCACATCCGTATGAGATTATTGAAAATACCATGGCTTGGGTCAGGCACACCTTAATTCTCAAACTGATATCTTTGCTATTGAACACTTTGAAGAGGTCTTGTGCATCAGATTTGCCTAATGCAATACGTCATTTGATTTCTTGACTGCTGCTTCTATGAGTGTTGATGGTTGATATGACCAAACTGTACTTTGAGGAGGCAGCTCTTCCCCAATCATATTTTGTGTGCCTTCCAACCTGAGGGGCTCATCTTCTGGCACTATATCATCCTCATGTTTCAATATTCAATATTCTGGTGCTGACAGTGTTCTACTGCTTTTCATAAGGTTTTCAGTGACTAAATATTTGGAAGTAGCCCATCTCTCCTTTTTCCTAGTATGTCTTTGTCTGGAAGCTCAACTGAAACCTGTCCACCATGGGTGAACCTTCTGGTATTTAAAATAACCGTGGCATAGCTTCCAGAATCACAGCAATATGCAAGCCACCACAGTATGGCAAACTTTGGAAAGCTCAAAAATAGTTGCTATAACTTTCTGAGCTGTCCTCTTTCTATGCCTTGAATTGAATTGGCCTAGAAGATCCCCCTTGAAAGCCACTGTTTTGATTGCATCTTAAGTGCTTGTCATGATCCACACAGTTGAAAACCTTTGCATAGTCAGTAGAGAACAAATAAACATCTTTCTGTATTCTCTGCTTTCAGCCTAATCCATCTGACGTCAGCAATGATATCCTTTGGTCTCGTCCTCTTCTGAATGTGGCACGAATTTCTGATAGTTCCCTGTCAATGTACTGTCATAGCCAGTTTTAAATTATCTTCAGCAAAATTTTACTTGTATGTGATATTAATGATATTGTCTGATTATTTCAGCATTCCATTGAGTCACCCCTCTTTGGAATGGGTACAAATATGGATCTTTTCCAATCAGTTGTCCAGATAGCTGTCTTCCAAGTTTCTTGGAGTAGATGAGTAAGTGCTGCCAGTGATGCATCAGTTTCTTGCAAGATTTCAATTTACATTTCATCAATTCCTGGAGCACTGTCTTCAGTGCTCCTTGGAATTCTTCCTTCAGTACCTTTGACTATTAATCATATGCTACCTCTTTCTCCCATGGGGCAGCTGGTGGGTTAACATCTCTTGAAATGGCTGACATGGACTATTACTTTTTGGTACAGTGACTCTGTGTATGCCTTCCATCTTGTTTTGATGCTTTCTGCTTCATTCATTATTTTACTTGTGGAGTTCTTCAGTATTGTAAGTTTGAGCTTGAATATTTTTCTTTCAGCTTGAGAAATGCTGAGGTTGTTTTTCCCTTTTGGTTTTCTAACTCTAGGTCTTTGCTCTATAAATACTTGACTTTGTCTTCACGAGCTGCCCTTTGAAAATTTCTCTCCAGCTCTTTTATTGCCTCATTTCTTCTAGTCCCTTTAGCATCTCTACACTGGAGAGCAAGTTTCAGAGTCTCTTCTGACATCCGTTTTGGTTCTGGACAGCCTTTGGACAATCAAGAGTTTTGGAGAAATGACCTTTTCAAGGACTGGGATTGAAATAAAGTAATTTAAATCCAGAAAGGAAGGTATGATGAGAAAATGGAGAAATGCAAAAAAGGACGCAGAAATCCACTCAAAGGTGCTTTCACCCAGACTTGGGTCAATTAGCAAAGTGAAATAAGTTTTATTAATGAATTATAATGAATAAAATCAGAACCCATGAGTATGTGGATAGATAGAAGGAATAAATTCATTACAAAATCTTCATTGGCCACCATACTAATACCAAACTAAATTCATTGACACTGAGTTGGTTCCACCTCACAGTGACCTTCTAGAACAGAGTAGAACTGACTCATAGTGTTTTTAAGGCTGTAATCTTTATGGGAGCAGACTGCTACATCTTTCTCCCATGGGGCAGCTGGTGGGTTAACATCTGGTGGTTTACCAGCCTTTTGGTTAGCAGCTGAACACTTAGAATAATAATTAAGAGAATATATCAAGAGATGCTAAAACTAGCATTAAAAGTGATTAAGGAATGGGATTTTACATAGTCTCAAAGTATTCCCTTCTGATATATTAACCACAAAGCAGAAAAACAATAATGTTACAGTGGAAAAATCTGGCAGATACCATTTTAATTAAGTGGCCAAAGTCAGCACCACTATAATGACATAAAATAGATGCCATATAATACTCAATAGAATGTAAAGAAAAGACTGCTGCATTTTTGATATTGCAACCAAATTCCAACAAATCATGAAGAAATATTGGACAAACCTTAACAACTAGCTGACGTGCTTTAAAATGTCGAGGTCATGAAGAACAAGGGAAGACTGAGGAACTGTTGTTGACTGAAAGAGACTAGAGAGACATGACAACTGAGTACAACCCATGATCCTGGATTAGTTTTTTTTTTAGTATAAAGACATTACTAGGACAGTTGGGGAAACGTGAATGAGATTTTGGGTGAAGAGCATATGGGAGTTTTTTGGTATTATTTTTGTTGCTATTATATAGAATATAACTTCATATTGTCATTTTTAGGCACAATGATTATAAAGTCGTATCACCTGCATTAAGAGCTGTTGGTAATATTGTGACAGGTGATGATATTCAAACACAGGTGAGTTTAGACTTTAATATGCTAAACTGATAAATTGTTGTCTTAATGAGCTTTAAGAAGTTTATCATGTTTTATACTACTTGATTAACATATTAATGATACTTTGCATAATGGCAAATGTACAAGAAAATATAATGTAAGAATTAGCATATTCTTGATAAGAAGTGATCAACCACAAACACCTCTGTGTGTAAAACTTTATCAAGGCAATAAAATGTAAAATATGGTTTCTGCTCTTTGTTGTTGTTGTTAAGTGCTGTTGTGTAGGTTCTGACTCATAGTGACCCTGTAGAGGGTTTTTGAGGGGTGGTTGGTGGGTTTGAACTCTAGCCTTGAGGTTCATAGTCCAGTGCTAATCCTACAGCACCACACCAAGAGTTTATAATTAATTAGGGAGTTTATATATTTACATATGTTTTTGTTGTTTTGTTATTAAGTGCCATCGACTCAGTTCTGACTCATAGTGACCC